TGGGAGGAAGAAAGCGCAGGCAAAGTTCAGGACCAACAAGGCTGGGAAATCTCTTCTCCAATCTCCCAGATAGCTTTACAACTAGAATGATATCTATGCGCCACCCATCAAATATTTCTGATGTAGAGGGAGGATAGATTCAGGACAAAAGCTGCTTCTCTGGTCACTCTTAAGGGGGGAGGGAGGTAGCCCTTAGTCTATACTCACCAACTTGGCCTCTTCCCACCAAATACTGGTTACGCTAAGGACCATTATAAATAGTGACTAGAGATTAAACCCATTTACCAAACACAAATCAGAAAAATCCCATAGATTAAAATACACAACGCACACACACTCACACTCACACACAAATATACAGACAGACAGACAAAAATATGCCAGAGTAATCAACTCTCCAGCTGGAAGAGCTCTCAGCTCAAACCGGGAGAATTATCTGGAGGTGGGATGGAAATCGTCTCTCATTGTCTATGGAGTTGCGGGCTGTGGAGATCAAGGAACGTGATAGGGCCAACTCCCACGTATGCCCTTGGTTCAGAGGGTTCCAGTCTGATTTCTCTCAGTCTCTCTCTCTCTCTCTCTCTCTCTCTCTCTCTCTCTCTCTCTCACTCTCTCTCTCTTTCTCTCTCTTTTCTCCATCCCCTCTCCTCTCCTTTCTCTCTTTCCTTTCTCTCTCCTCTCACTCTCCTGTCTCTTTCTCCCCTCTCTCCTTTCTCTTTCTTTCTCTCTCTCCCCTCTCCTTTCTCTCTCTCTTTGTCTCTCTCTGTCTCTCTGTTCTTTTTCTGTTTCTTTCACTTTATCTCCTTTCTTTTCTCTCTCTGTCTCTGTCTGTCTGTCTGTCTCTCTCTCTCTCACACACACAAATTGTATATGAAGACATATACAGTGTAAATAGAAGGTAATTTCAGAGGAAAGACCCTAGTCATGGAGGTGGAGGGAGAGGAGAAGAACTGGGAAAGGCCTGCAGAAGGAAGGGAGTCTTAAAGGAGGCCAGGGAAGTGAGAAGGCTGGACTGAGGAGGGAGCACATTTCAGGCACTGAGGACAGCCAAGGCAAAGGCATGGAGTTTGGAGATCAAGTGCTGTATGTGAGGAATAGCAAAGAGGCCTGTGTCTATGGATTATAGAGTGTGTTGCTGTCATTGTTGTTGCTGTATCATTCCAGTTGTGTCTGACTCTCCGTGACCCAATTTGGGGTTTTCTTGAGAGAGATACTGGAGTGGTTTGCCATTTCCTTCTCGAGCTCATGTGACAGATGAGGAAACTGAGGCAAACAAGGTGAAGTGACTTGCCCAGGGTCACAGAGTTGGTAAGTGTCTGAGGCCGGATTTGAACTCAGGAAAATTGAGTCTTCCTGACTTCTGGCCCAGCACTCTGTGTACTGTTCTACCTAGCTGCCATTTGTAGAGTCTACAGATAGAAGTAAAAAGTAAGGAGACTGGAAAGGCAGGAAGGGGCCATGTTGTGAAAGGCTTTGAATGCCAAGGAGAGGACTTTATTTTTGATCCTAGGGATAATAGGGAGCCACTGGAGTTTACTGAATAGGGGGATGATATGGTCTAAACTGTACTTTAGCAGCCGAATCAGGGATGGATTGGGTGGACACCGCAAACTGATGATGAACTAGGTCCAGATTCTAACAGGAGGAGAAAACAGACTGTCACCTTTGGAAAATTGTATTGTGCTTTTAATGGCCCTAAGTTTGTTCCTGAAGCAAAAGTCCATCTTTTTAACAAAATATTCTTCCACTGATGTTGTGTCACATGAAATACCAGTCTCCCCCCTCCCCCCCCACAAAAATAAAGTTCGTAGGTTGCCCAGAGGGTCAGCTAGGTGGTACAGTGGATGGAGCATTGGGCTTGGAATCAGGAAGATTCATCCTCACTTAACCCTGTTTGCCTCAGTTTCCTTTTCTGTAAAATGAGCCAAAGAAGGAAATGGCAAACCACTCCAGCATCTTTGCCACAAAAACACCAAATGAGGGCACAAAGACACAGACACAATAACAAATAACCAAAGGGTCGTGGAGAGGTGCATGGTGGGCATGAGTAAGTCTCCAAGACATTCCCAATGAAGAATTCTGCTTTAGAAAAGATGCGCAGGACATCATCAGAGAACCGGGTGACCTGAACACAGTTTGGTCTGGTCACATACAGAGAGTAAGGATAGGCCACATCCTCCACCAGAATTCATACAGTATATCTCCACCAAGAGCCAGCAGAACACTGGGTACATCTTCCATTTTGGGGAAGACTCATTTACAAGATGGCACAGAGAAGATTCACACTGGATGGGCAGGTATCATAGATAGGTGATGATTTGCATTGTGGGAAAGCCCACAAAGATGAGATAACAGTTCCATTAAGATATCAAAGATGCTATGGGCTACGTTTACAAAGACAAAAATGAAATCATCACAGCCCCCAAGAACTCACCTTCCACTGGGTAAATTCAACATGTAAATGGAAAAATAAATAAAAGATAATTTGAAGAAGGAGGAAGCACTAACAGCTAGGGACTTCAGGAAAGGTTCCCCACTGGAGGTAATACCTCCTTGAAGGCTTCATTCTAATAGAGAATTGAAATTGAAAATTAAATTGAAAACCGAGAAAGATAGACTAGAGCTGAGCTGAAAAGGGCTTTAATTGCGCTTTCCAAGCTAAGGAGCTTGTATTTTATTCTAGAGACAATAGGGAGCCATTAAAGATTCCTGAGCAGGAGAGTGGCATTTAGAGAGGGGAGACATTGGAAACAGGGAGACCAATTAGGAAGCTAACCCAATAGTCTAAGTGAAGGGTGAGGAGAGCCTGAGCTAGAGTGGTAGCTACATGAATGGGGACAAGGAAGAAGAGTAAGAGATATTGAGGCCTTTGCAACTGTCACTAACCAGTCTCACTGACCTTGAGAACATCTCCTATATATGAGTGTATGAGAGGCAACATGATGCGGTGAGTTCTTGACTAGAATCCTGGAGCCAGGTGAGAGCTGGGGTCAAATACCAACTCTGGCATTTTATTAGCCCTATTTTCACTTTCCTCATCTGTCAGTGGTAACACTGGTGCCTCAGAGAGCTGGTGTTGGGAAAGTACCAGATAAGCTGTAAAGGGCTATGAAAATGTGACCTGTTGCTATCATTATATTTAGATCGGGCTTGCTTAATTTCCTGACACTTTTAAAATACTGCAAACCAAGAAACAAAATCAAGCTAAGTAGACCAAGTTCAGGAGAAGCAGGGAAGCTGGAGAGCTTCTCAATCCCATCCCTGCCCCGCCCCACAACTTCTCTTTCTCCATTTATTCCCTGTATAGTTTGGGGAGGAAGCAGCATCACCTCTCTCTTAGATGTAAATCACTAGCCTCAGCAGAAGCTCTCTCTGTGTGTCTCTCCTCTCTCTTTCTATCTCTCAGTCTCTCTGTGTCTCTCTCGCCCTCCTCTCTCTCTCTGTCTCTCTCTCTCTGTCCTCTCTCTGTGTGTCTCTCCTCTCTCTGTCTCTCAGTCTCTGTGTGTCTCTCTGCCTTTTCTCTCTCCCTCCTCTCTTTCTCTCTTTCCCTGTCTCCCTCTCTTTCTCTCTCTTCTTTCTCCTTTCTCTTTCTCATTTTCTCTTTCACATTGTCTCTCTCTCATTTTCTTATTCTCTCTTTTTTGTTTTATTCTCTCCCCCACCTCTTCCTCTCTTACTCTTCTTTTCCTCCTCCTCTCTCTTTCTAATTTTATCTTTCAAATTGTTCTCTCTCTCATTCTCTTTTTCTCAGTCTCATTTTCTCTCTTCCTCTCTTAGCTTCTCTCTTATTCTCTCTCTCCATCTCCTCATCTCTCTCGTTCTTTCACATTGTTCTTTCTCGTTCTCTCTCATCTTCTCTTTTATTCTCTTTCTCTACTTCCTCTTCTCTTTCCTTTTCTCTTTCACTTGTTTTCTCTCATTCTCTCTCTCCCCCTCTTTTTCTCATTGTCTACTCACATTGTTCTCTTTCTGGGTCTAATGAATTACTGGGCATTTAAAAGGCCTCTCCCTTTAAATTTAAAGGGCTGCAGTGGTCAAGTCAACAAGCATTTATTGAACACGTATTAGAGGTTGAACAAGAAGAGAAATCCTTCCACTCTTCATCACCCACAGTCTTTTATATATAGGCCTAAGAGTGAAGAATTGGGTGTAGTGGTACTTCGTAGGCTATTCTTCAAATCTCTGTGGCCAAATGGGCATCTGTTGAGGACGCTTGTGTTCACATGTGCATGTGAAGCTATGAACAAGTTTTACAAATGTGGGTGTGCACAAGATTCTTTTTGTTTATGTGTGTGCAAAGACCTATATGTGTTTGCAAAGACCATATATGATTCTGTGGGAGTGCACCAGTTCCTGTCTGAGTGTGTGTGTTTAAACAGGGAAGTAGGTTGTTCCCCAAAGACAAGAAACACAAAGTCCACTTTGACTCATGTTCAAAAGCTGAGGTTACTGAGAAACAGTGACCTGGGGACTGGAGCGGGATGGGTGATGGAGATGGTGGAAAACTTGTTTTCACTTCTGCCTTATGTGAGGGCTGCATTAGGGGGCTTCTGAAGTCCTCTCCAGTTCTAAATTTCTGAAAGTGTCATTTCCTTCCCTTCTTCCCTCCCTCCCTAGACTAGGAGCTGGAAACTCAAAGAAGAGTGAGAATATTAGACATTCCATCTCCTGCCTAGGATGGTAGCAATAGGCTTGTGGAGGTGGGAAGCAGGGTGTGTGGGCTTTTACTCCCCAGGCTTTCCAACCCTCAGCTCACCAGTTACCTAACTGGTCCTTCCCACATGAGCATGCCCGTTCAGTTCCTTAAGACACAGGTATCTGAAACAACTTAGAGTTAGGAAGGATGTTAGAAACCATTGAGTCTAAATTTTTTTTTTAAGTCAATTGGGGTTAAGTGACTTGCCCAGGGTCACACAGGTAGTAAGAGTCAAGTGTTTGGTCTGAGGCATCACGACTAAAATTTAAAAACAATGTTCTGTGGTTCTGCGTCCCATATCCAGGGCCTCTCACAAGCAGCAAGCCAAGGACAGACCTTCTCCCAAAAGCTACTCTGCCTCCTCCGGGGTGGGACAGCTCAAACCGTTCTCTCCAGGCCTTCTTGGGACCCCAGAAGGTGAGACTGAAGACCCCAGGTCTGAGCAAGAGCAGCATGGCTCCACATCCGCGAAACCCCAGACACTTACGGAACCCCTCTTTGATATGACTCCAGGGTCCTGGCAAAGTGAAAGTCTGGAAGAACAACTGGGACCTGGCCATCGGGCAGTCAGCACCAGGTTACTGAGCTCCCTGAGGAATAAGATCTCAGGTGGAGTCTGGAGGAAGTCATGTGAAGCTACAGTAAACATCAGGAAGCAGGTTCCTAAGGGCTGATGCTGGGGCAAGGGAGGTGACCCTGCTATCCATCACCCCTTACCCACTTGTCATCACATCTCAAAGAGTGTGAGCCGCTGGGGTCTGGACTCAAGGGGGAGTGAGCAGCCCTCTGAGAAAGAGTTGTCTGACCATCAAAGGCAGCATTTGGGCAATTAGATGCTTGGGTTTTTTTCCTGGGTTTCTCCCCATCTCCCGCTGTGACCTGGGATCCCTCCACCTTCGGAGCCTCTGTTTCCTTTCTTACCAAGGAGGCAATGTGATGATACAGTGGAAAATGCCTTTAATTGGGAGCTAGGAGGCCTGAGTTATAGCTCTGACTTTTCCATTGAGTAGGGTGACCCTGGGTAAATAATTTTATTTATCTGGGACTCAGTCTCCCCACCTATAAAATGGGAATAACACCTGTCTTGTGAGGATGTCTAAGATTCAAATGAGATAATATATATATGTGAAAGTACTTTGGAAAGTACAAAGTGCCATTCAAATAGGAAGCATTTTTATTAGTACCGTTATTACTTATCATCATGAATTAGTATTAGTATGTTACCAGTATAATAATGTGAAATTTTCAAGATTATTATGTATTAGGAATTTATTAGTGATAACAATAAAAATTGTTGGTGGAGTGAGAGGGTGACAATAAAAACCTAGGCTGGACCAAAGTCGGTTGCCTCACTACCATTTATATAGCACCTTAAGGGTTACAAAGTGCTATGTTATGACTATTACCTCATTTGGTCCTCACAGCACCCGGGAAGGTAGGTGCTATTATTATTATTCCCATTTTACATATGAGGAAACTGAGGTAGAGAAAGGTTAAGTGACTTGCCCAGGGTCATACAGTTATTTTGTATCCGAGGCAGGATTTGAACTCAAGTCTTCCTTACTACTAGGTACTGTACCTAGTTCTCTCAACAAATGTATATAAAGTGCCCACAGTGGCACTATGTTAAGCCCTGGGGAGACAAAGGCAAAAACCAGAAACAATTCCTGCCCTCAGGGGGTTTACATTCTACTGGGAGGTGTAACATGTGAGCAAATAAGTAAATACAATATACATTGAAGAAGGAGGGAGGACTAATTTCTAGCGGGGAATGGGAAGGGCTTTGTGAAGGTGGCGGCAGCTGACCTGAGCCTGGAAGGAGGCTAAGGAATCCTGGATCCCGAGAGGAGGAAACAGAGCATTCCAGGCACAGGGGCCACGGTAAGGCTAGTGACGTGGCCAGGATGCTGAGGATGTGAGGGCTGGACACAGAACTAGCAAGGGATTTGAATGTTAGAGGAGTTTGGCTCCCGCTGCCTCCTGCCCTGTCCTTACGACCTGTCGGAGAAAAGGTTCTTGTTTCCATTTTCTAATCCCCAACCTGCCTCCCCAGCTGCAGGAGCCAGAAGAGAATAAAATTGTCAGGGAGCTCCTGGAGACAGAGCAGGCCTATGTGTCCCGCCTCCATCTGCTGGATCAGGTGAGTGATTGACATGCCCCGCCTCCCACCTCCACCTCCAGGATTCCTCTCCTCTCATGTTTAAATGTCTTTCGTGTTCAGAGAGCACAATGCTGGGCACTGAGGGAGGGAATTGGCATGGCAACAGTGGAAAAGTGTGCTGGGTTTGAAGTCGGGGCCTTGGGTTTGAATCCCCACTCAGTTGCTTCCTCCTTAATAATAGTAATAATAGTTACATTAATAATACAATTAATTAATAATATAATAAACTCATTATATAGCACCTGCTATGTGCTAAGTGCTTTACAAATATGATCTCATTTGATCCTCACAACAACCCTGGGAGGTAGGTGCTATTATGATCTCCATTTTACAGATGAGGAAACTGAGGCAAACAAAGTAATTCACCCAAGGCCACAAAACTAGTAATAATAATGATAATAATAATAACAGCTAAAATTTATATAGCACCCACTATGTACCAGGCACTATGCTAAGCATTTTACAAATATGATCTCATTTAATTTTCACAACAACCCTGTGAGGTGGGTGTTACTATTATGTCCATTTTACAGATGAGGAAACTGAGGCAGAGGTTAAATGATTTGCCCAAGCTCACACAGCTAGTAATAATGATGCTATTGCTGTTGCTGCTGATAATGATGATGATGATGATAACAGCTAACATTTATATAGTACCTACTATGTACCTGGGCAGGTAGGTGGCCCAGTGGATACAGTGTTGGGCCTGGAATCAGGAAGATTCCTCTTCATGAGTTCAAATCTAGCCTCAGACACTTCCTAGCTGTGAGACCCTGGGCAAGTCACTTAACTGTTTGCCTCAGTTTTCTCATCTGTAAAATGAGCTGGAGAAGGAAGTGGCAAAACACTTAGTAAACATCTCTGCCAAGAAAACCCCACATGGGGTCACAGAGTCGGAAACAATTGAAAAACAACACAAACTATGTACCTATAACATGTAAGGTCTTTGCAAATACTATCTCATTTGATCTTCAGAATAGCCTTGTGATGTAGATGCTATTACTATCCCCATTTTACAGATGAGGAAACTGAAGTCAACAGAAGCTAAGTACTTTGCCCAGAGCCACATAGCTAGTAAGTGTCTGAGGCAGGATTCAAACTCAGATCTTTCTGATCTCAGGCCCAGCTGAACACCTAGCTGCCTAATAAACAATATATAAACACTAGCTAACTATTATTTATGTGGCCTTGGACAAGTGCTCTCTGGGCCTCAGTTTCCTCATGTGTAAAATGAGGGAGAAAGGGTGGCCTAAATACCTCTCAGGTTCTGAATTTATAATTTCACCCTTAGAGAAAGTTTCTGTTCCTTTAAGGAGCTGATGATTTCATATAGGAGTCAGAAAACTTCGGCCAGTGAATTTGGCCCCGGCCTGTTTTTGTATAGCCTAGGAGCTAAGAATTGTTTGTACACTTTAAAATAGTCAGAGACGGTTCACTAACCCCCGAATTCTTGTAGGAAGATGGAATATAAAAATCTTATAAAGCAAAGACCAGGTCTTTGCCAATTTAAACCTGACACTGCATCCGCGGGCCCATCAGATCCTGGCTGTGTGACCTTGGGCAGGTCACCCAGCTCTCTGGCACTCCGCTTTCTCCACTCTGTGTGCTGCTCTCTGAGCCGGACAGGGCGCCTCTCTCCTAGGAGGGCCGCCTGGCTGCCTGAACCCCTCTCCCATCCATCTGAATGAATTCTGCCTCCAGGTTTTCTTTGAGGAGCTGCTGAAGGAAGCTCGTAGCAGCAAGGCTTTCTCTGAAGATGTTGTTAAACTCATCTTTTCCAACATCTCCTCCATTCACCAATTCCACTCCCAGTTCTTCCTCCCAGAGCTTCAGAAGCGAGTGGACGAATGGTGAGTCGGGGTGGCTGGGTCCACCTGGGGAGGGAGAAGGCAGTGGGGTGCTTTGCACATAGTAGGTACTCCACAGATGTTTGTTGAATTGAATTGAGTTGACATAGTGGACTAGATATCAGGAGAACCAGCATGGGCACTGCGGATCTTGGGAAAAAATTTTCCCTCACCAGGTCTCATTTTTTTCTTCTGTAAAGGGGGGGAGACAATATGGCTCACTGAGGGCCAAACGTGGCCTGGCACCAGTTTTTGTACAGCCTGAGAGATAAATACAATTTATTTTAAAATGTAAGCACTATTTTTTTGCTCATGAGCCATACATACAAAAACACATGACAGGACAAATTTGGCCCTCCGGCCATGGCTTACTGACTCTTGGATAGTGGACGGAGGACTGGCCTTGGAGTCATAAACACTTGGAATCAGGTCCTACTTCTGATATATACTAGCCATTCTGACCACGGATAAGTAAATTAAATCAAAAGAAATATGTGTGTGTGTGTGTGTATACATATATATGAAAAGCACTCCTTGTAAATCTCAAGAATTGAGGTCAATGTGATCTATTATTTGGAGGCAACTATGTGATATAGTGGGCAGAGTGCCAGGTTTGGAGTCAAGAAGACCTGAATTTGAATCTTGTTCCAGTTGCCCACTAACTAAATGACCCTGGGCAAGCCTCTTTACTTCTCTCAGACTCAGTTTCCTCATCTGGGAAATGGGGATAATAAAAACTTTCCAAGGTTGTCATGAGGGTCAAATGAGATAATATGTAAAATGCTTTCTCACCTTAAAGTACTATATGAATGTTAACCATTACAAGTATCAGCACTACTTAACCTCTCAGAGACCAGCTTTCAAAGGCCAAGTTACAGATAAGTTGCATTGCTGGTGGAGTGTACCACACATGAATTCCCTTCATACAGGTGAAGATCCCTACCCCCTGGCACCCCACCCCCATCCCCAAAAGGAAGTTAGGTGTTAAAACTGATGATCATTCAGTTCTAAAATTCTTTGATTCCATCTCTTTGGAAAGAGTCAGAGATCAAGGAGAGGTGCTGGGGTTAATTTTACAGACCGAGCTATGTACTCCAATGAGTATAGATTGAGAGCTCATTATGTGGTCATCTCTGTGCTAAAAGGGAGTCACAGAAATGGAAGGCACAGTCCCTGTCTTCAAGGAGTTTATTATTAGACAAGGAGCCACTCCTTAAATTATTCAGTTATACTTCCTCACAACTTCCCTAAGCATAGGAAGAAGAAAAAGGAAACAATAATTTGTTAAGCACCTACTATGCACCAGGCAAGAGCAGCTAGATGGTATGGTGGATAGAGTGCTGGGCCTAAAATCAGAAAGACTCCTCTTCTTGAGTTCAAATCTGGCCTCAGACACTTACTGGCTGTGTGACCCTGGGCAAGTCACTTCATCCTATTTGCCTCAGTTTCCTCATCTATTAAAAAAGGAGCTGGAGAAAAAAATGGCAATCTACTCCAGTATCTTTGCCAATAAAACTCCAAATGGGCTCATGTAGAGTCAGACATGACTGCACAATGACTGAACAGTGCCAGGCACTGTGCTAAACACTTTACAAACATTTTTTCATTGGAGCCTCACAAAAATCCTGGGAGAAAGGTAATATTACAATCTCCATTTTACAACTGAAGAAACTGAGGCAGACAGAGGTTAAGTGACTTGTCTGTGGACTCACAACTTAGTAAGGGTCTGAGGCCAGATTTGAACTCAGGTCTTCACTACTACAGGACCACTGCTCTATTCATTGCACCGTCTAGCTGCCTTAATTAATGTTTGTTGAACTGAATTGACTTGAATTCTATAGTTGGATAATAAGAATTGGAAGGGAACTTTGAGGTCATTGAGTCCAATCCCCTCAATTTACAGATCAGGAAACTGAGGCACAAAAAGGTTAAAGTGACTTGTCCACAGTGACTCAGGTAGTAACTGGCATATAACAAATCCTCTGACACCAAATTCAGCATTCTTTGTGCTGGACGGCATCATAGTATTAATTGTGGTTGTCATCAGAGTTACTTCTTCCTGGAGGACATCAGGGCTATCCTGGTCTATTAGAATTATTGGCAACCCTTGCCATATCTGGATTATAAGGTCACAGATTTAAAATTAGAAGGGACCTTAAAGTCCATTGAGCCCAATTCCATTATTTTACACATGAGGAAACCGAGGCCCAGAAAAGTTGAGCGACACAAAAAGTCACAAAGTAAGTATCGGGTGGGATACAAACCCGAGTCTTAATTCCAAGTTCAATCATGCCTCACCCGCTGCACCACAAAGCCTAGATACTATTGGTCCAAAGGCCTGAGGATAAGGGATGAGGTCCTTGCCCACAGGGCTGCCGTCCCCCGCATTGGTGACGTGATCCAGAAACTGGCGCCCTTTCTGAAGATGTATGGCGAGTATGTGAAGAACTTTGAGCGGGCAGCAGAGCTGCTGGCCATATGGATGGAGAAGTGTCCACCCTTCCAAGAGGTCATCGCTCGAATCCAGGTGGAGAGCCTGAAGCTCTAGATGCCAGAGCGGGGGTGGGAGGAGGAACAGAATGGGCACAGGGATGGGAAAGGAAAGACAGAGAGGCCGTTCCACGTCCACCCTTGACATCTCAAATGAGGAGAGAACAAATTCTCATCTTTCCCACATCATCATTTGAAAATCTGAGGGCCTAGGAAAATACCTGTTCCTAAGCCCCTTCGTACGCATGCCACACATAAACCAAGAGTCACCGTCGGGGCCCGGTCAGCCGGACGGCCAGCCTGTCCTCACTCTGTCGGCCTCATCTCCCACCTCTCCCTTTCAGGTGAATGGGGCAGCACGCACTGTCCCATCAGACTCTGTCACTCCCCTCCCAAACTATGGATATCTCCGGCCAAATTCATATAATCCTAGCTCTGGGAGGGGCCTTAAAGGTCCCATTGTCCAACTCCCTCCTTCACAGAGGAGGAAACTGAGACGCAGAAAAGGCAAGGTCACACGGGAATTTCAGGACAGAGCTGAGGCTAGAATCTGGGTCTCCTAAATCTTCCCGCTACCCCATCCTGTATCTCTTCCCTCTGGATCCACCCCCAGGCCTGGAATATCTGCATTCTGCCCCATCTAGGCTGAGTAGTAGTCTGACCTTCCCTCCACTCCCACCCCCTCGCTTCCCTTCTTGACCCAAGAACAGCGAGGTCTCTGGCAACCTCACCCTGCAACATCACATGCTGGAGCCCGTGCAAAGGATCCCTCGCTATGAGCTGCTGCTGAAGGAGTATGTGCAGAAGCTGCCCCCTGATGCCCCGGACCAGGCAGATGCCCAGAGTAAGGTCTTAGCCCTACGGACGTGGGAGGGATAGATTGGACAGGGGCCTGGGAACAGAGCCGTTTCTTCATTTATTCAGTCAATGACCAAATGGCCTCATTTCCTATTCTGAGCCCCCGTTGGTGGCGCTTTGCTTGTGCCTCTCTTAGGACCCTCTCATGTATTGTGTACCTTATTCTACAGTTACATTCTTATTTTAAGTTATGTCTTCTTTCTTCCTTTTTTAAAGTTTATTTTTAGTTTTCAACATTCACTTTTATAAGATTTTGAGTTGCAAATTTTTTGCCCTCCTTCCCCTCCCCCCTCCCCAAGACAGCATGCAATCTGATATAGGCTTTACATGGACAGTCAAATTAAACACATTTCCACGTTAGTCATGTTGTGAAAGAAGAATCAGATATGTCTTATTTATTTCAATGTTCTGTTATTATTTGCCAAATGGAATCAAGAACCTAATACGTGCAACAAATAGATACAGGTGTTAGGAGAGATATTTTTTATTGTTGTTGTTTGTCCTTTGTTCTCAAAGAGGACCATGACATCTGGAAATTGGTGCCATGACTTGCAAGTGAATTGGATTTAAGTGAGAGAGGGCTGGGCAAGGTCACCAGCCTCACTTTCTCCTCCAGAGCCATCTGGGTCCAATGGCAAGACATAGATCACGATAATTAGAGATGGCCCCCACTAGGAGAAAAGAAAAGTATATAAGTCTCAGTTCCTACCCTTGAAGAGCTTATGGTCTTTATACCCTGGAGTGAGGAATCAAACCCTAGAGAATGAGATTCAGGAATTGTCTTAAACCAGAGGTGGGGAACCTGTGGCCTCAAGGCCACATGTGGGCCCTCTAGGTCCTCAAGTGTGGCCCTGGTTCCCCACCTCTGTCCTAAACTAAGACTGCTTAATATGGGCTCTGCACATAGTAGGTGCTTAATAAATGATTATTAAATTGAATGGCATTTCCCCACCACTGTGAACCCTTGGTAATATCTACCCTGTGTAAGCCTTCTCGACCCTTTTGCCCAAGGCTTTGTCTCTAACATGAGTTGGGGGTAGGAGTCAACTGGGAAAAAAGATACATGTCCTTCCTGACATCAGCGTCTCAGCTTAGGAACCAGCCCCAAATATTCCTTCCCCTAATAACCCATTGTAGACCTGCCTCTTTTTGGGGGGTTCTAAAGAGCCTCTTTCAGAACCCAGAACCGCCCCCCTCCTCCTCACCAGTTTTAGTGTACCAGCTTTCAGAAAGCAAATCCTTTCCCCTATCCATCCTTTTTGTGACTTTGTGACTCTCTTTCAGAAGCTCTGGACGTGATCTTCTCTGCTGCTCAGCATTCTAACGCAGCCATCACTGAGATGGTGAGCTGGGACCCCTCAGCAGGGTGGGAGCCTCAAATCCTAAAGTTTCTAGGATCTTCCTGCTAGGCCCCCTTGCTCCCCAAAACCCCCCACATCCCTGTGCTGTGGCTGCCCCCTCATTCCTGGACTTCCTCATCCCTGATTTACTTTGGGTCCACTATAACCACTTGCCCTCGAAGCTGCTATTTGCCTTGGATCCCGTCATCTGCTAACACACTCTCATTCCCTCATCCCTCTCAATCAACCCATGAACATGCTAGAGATGAAGCAAGATGCTGGGGTTACCAAAGCAAAAGCAAGGCAGTACCTGCCCTCAGGGAGCTTACATTCTATCAGAGAAAACAACTTGAGTTGTTTGAAACACACACGTAAATACAAAGTAATTCCTAGTGGGGAACCCTAGTAGTCCGTGGGACCAGGAAAGCCTCTCGGGACCAGGAAAGCCTCTCAGGACCAGAGATGAAACAGGTTGTCCACTTCTTGGCAGAGAGATGATGGACTCAGGATGAAGAATGAGTCATCTATTGGATTCCAAGGGAGAAGGCTTGGACAAGGTGCAATCTACAGAGAGCAAATTGGAATTTATTTTGTTTGACTATGTATATTTGTCACAATGATTTTGCTTTTCTGTTTTTTCCCCCAGTGGAGGGGGGAAGAGGGAAAGAAAATTAGTTTTTGTTCATTGAAAAAGTAAAATAAAATTTAAAAATTAACCCTCAAAAAAAAAAAAAAGGAAAGGCCTCATGTATGGGTCAAGTTTGAGCTTGGCTAGGAGCTTCGCTTGCTAAGAGGTGGAGGTGAGGAGAGAATGCATCCCAGGCCTGGGAACAACCTGTCTAAAAGTTATGGAAAAGGTGCTCACTCATACTCTCTTACATCTTCTGATATATGCTACCTCCCTACAGGGAAATCTTCTCAAGCTAGATCTATGTCTTCTTGTTAAAAGCATACTTTTCAGACAAAATGTCTTATTTAGCTCTCTTGTCTGCATGTTTCAGGGGTTCTTCCACTCTAGAAGTCAGACGGTTCTGGACTTCTGTGATCCAGGTTCTCCCTAAGAACCAGGGGATACAAAATGGCCTGAATGTACTTCATGTCCTTCCTGTATTGGGTTTTCTCCTTCTCTCTCTCCTTCCCCAGGAGCGTCTACAGAACCTGTGGGATGTGTACCAGCGTCTGGGCCTTGAGGACGATATTGTGGATCCCTCCAACGAATTGCTCCAGGAAGGCCCCATCCAGAAGATCTCCTTCAGACATAGCAGCACCATGGAGCGATACTTGTTCCTGGTAGGGGAGAGGGTCTCAAAGTACTGAGGCTGTTTGTCACTAGGATATGGGACTGCGAAGGTCTTTCTGACTCCAAGGCCAGCATTCTGGCCACTATACTATGATGTCTTTGCTCAGGTATGGGTTAGACCAGGTCAGAGGCGTGCTGGTGAATGTTTAACAACCAGCTCATCCAGAAAAAAAGTATGAAAGACACACCTAATCTGCATTATTAATATTTTCTCCATCTTTTTCTTAAGTCCAAGGGTTTTTTTTTAAGTTCTGCAGATTGAACTTTAAGTTCTATGAATTAAAGAGAACACTAACTCAAGCCCTAATTTGTAGCTTTGCTGATGTCAGAGGTGTAAATGCTTATACAGAAGATTTAACAATAGGCTTTTAGGAACCTATCTGATCCAACCTCAACACACCCCTGGACCAGGTGAACTCTGAAGTTCCTTCCAGTTCTGTTACTCTGTAGAAGTACAGGACAAACCCACCATCTGTCTGGTCTGGGTTCACTAAGTTCCTGCCACTGGCAGGAGAAGATTAAGGAGAGGCCTACTGAGTCACTCCTAGCTCTGGATCCCTTTGATGTTGTATCATCTAGGACAAATCATAGGCTTTCTGATGCCCTCAGGAGGAAAGAGTTAGCACAGGTAAATCTCTCTGGTGCTTCACCACACTGGGTCCTGCTCTCTAGGGGCTGTCTGTCCACTTCGTAGCCCTAGGGCCCTGTTGAGGATCATGAAGTTCAAAGACTCCTTTGACTGTTATGGCTGGAAGAACCTGGCACATGGAGATGACATTTGGGTAAATGCCATCCTCATCATCATGTAAACTACAGGAGACATGGCCATCTCCCCATGGTCCTTTGATGAGAACACGTGCCCTCGGAGACTAAGAATCTATTCGATTCCAAGCGAGAAGCTTGGACAAAGTGCAATCTACAGAGAGCAAGCTCTGAGCTGAGAATTTGAATTTCACTTGAGTTTGAGTGCCTAGCTCTGTCGCTTACTGGGCAGCTAAATAGTGAAGTGGATTGAGTGTAAGACCTAGAGTCAGGGAGACCTGAGTTTGAATCCTGCCTTAGACACCAACGTGTGACTCTGGGCAAATCATTTAACCTCCTTGCCTCAGTTTACTCATCTGTAAAATGGGGATGATGATAATAAAAACACTTTTCTCCCATGGATGTGGTGAGGATCACATGAGATAATACATAAAATGCTTTGTAAACCATAAAGTACCATATAAATGACAATTATTATGATTACTACTGCTCAGCATGAGCTCTTGGATAAGTCACTTAAATTCTATTTTTATTTTTAAGCAATTGGGGTTAAGTGACTTGCCCAGGATCACACAGCTAGTAAGTGTCACGTGTTTGGTCTGAGGCCAGATTTGAATTCAGGTCCTCCTGACTTCAAGGCCAGTGTTCTATCCACTGTACCACCTAGCTGCCCCCTAAGTCACTTAAATTCTCTGGGCCTAATTTTCCTTATCTGTAAAGGGCTGAGTGAATTCAGTCATTTTTCAGTTGTGTCTGACTCCTTGTGACCCCATTTGGGATTTTTTTGGCAAAGATACTGGAGTGATTTGCCGTTTTCTTCTCCAGCTCATTTTGCAGATGAGGAAACAGAGGCAAACAGAGTTAAACAGAGTGAATTGCCCAGGGTCATACAACTAGTAAGTTCAAATCTGAGGCCACATTTGAACTCAGATTCGCCAGGCCTGGTGCTTTATCCACTGTGCCACCTAGCTGCCCCCTCATCTGTAAAGGAGGATTATTAATACCTGCACTGAGAGATAGGGTGCTTTAGTGGCTAGAGAGCTGGCTTTGGGGTCAGGAATGCCTAGGTTCAAGTCTCATCTCTGACATATACTGACTGCGTGACCCTGGACAAAAGAAATATACCTCCCAACTCCCCTTTCCCCCCACTCTTTAAAACTATATGTTGCAAGATATCTGCATGATCTACATTTGGAGAAGGGATTTCTGTACTAGAAGTTCCCTGTGCTAGCAAAATCACAGATCCAGATGTTTAAAGTATATAGATAGATAAATAGATAGATAGATAGATAGATACACACAGACACACAGACACACACACACACACACACACACACATATATATGTGTGTATATATATATCTATATATGACCCATATTATTTGGCCATTGTGAGACTTAAATGAGATAATGTATGTAACTTTTTAAAGTGTTAGGTTCATGTTGGCCATTATTGTTTGAATGGTGACCATATATCCTTTCCTCCATCAGTTCAACAATATGCTGCTGTACTGTGTACCTAAGGTGATTCAGGTTGGGGCTCAGTTCCAGGTGAGGACACGAATAGATGTGGCTGGGATGAAGGTGAGATTCTCTCTGGCCCCTCCACTCTACTTATTGTATGGATATCTTCTGTTTTTATATTATCCCCCCCCCCCCAATATATCCTTCCCTTCTCCCCTACCCAGTAAGCCATATCTTGTAACAAATGTAAGATACATGGGAGTGGAGTGTGACTAAATATGTAGATGTGGTTTGTGGGTAGTGTGGATAGTATGATCTGAAATCTGATCTAAGCCCATCTGGTCTTTCCTCTTTTGTGGGGAGTAGGAGAAACATTGTCCTGGCCCTTTCAGCAGCTAAATGGGAGAAGGGACAGGTAAGCAGGCAAGGTCCAGGATCTCCAAAGCTGGGCAATCTGTCCTTCAGTCTCCAAGAGGGAGATAGATTGAGCGTATCTTTCTGCCACCTGCCAAATCTCTAGTCTAGGAGGTACAATAGGTTCAGAACAAAAGCTGCTTCCTTGATCACTCTTAAGGGGGGAGGGCAGCCCCCAGTTTATACTTGCTAGTTTAGCCCCTTCCCACCAAACAATGGTTACACAAAGGGCCATCATAAATAGAAAGAATAAGTAAGTTCATTTATCTAAGCAAAACAGTAAATAGAAGACATTCAGAGACATTCCACAGATTAGAGTATATCAGAGAATATACAAAAGTGAATGAGATCTTCAGCTGGGATTGAGATAAGATCTCAGCTCAAATTAGGAGAAAGATGATGATATCACCAAGGAGAGGTCCACTCCTCATAGTCTCCCTGGAGATCAAGGAACATGATGGAATCAGTTCCAGTACATGTCCTTGGATCACAGCTCCAATCTACCATTCAACTCTCTCTTTCTCTCTCTCTCTCTCTCTCTCTCTCTCTCTCTCTCTCTCTCTCTGTCTCCTCTCTCTGGGCTTGGAATCAGTGAGACTCATTTTCATGATTTCAAATCTAGCTCCATACACACTAGCTGTGTGACCCTGGGCAAGCCACTTAACCCTATGTGCCTCAATTTCCTTATCTGGAAAATGACCTGGAGAAGGAAATGGCAAACCACTCTGGTATCTTTGCCAAGAAAACCACAAATGGGGTCACAAAGAGTCAGACACAATTGAACAACAAACAAAAAAAAATAGAACTGTAGTAGCAAAATATTCTTGCCTCCCCATAAATGTAAGAAACCCTCTCCCATATATACATACAGATCAATGAGAAGAGCAGGTATATGCAAAGCTAGTATTAGGGTAAACACTAGAAGAGTGATGCATATTTAGTGATCACAGCTTCCCTTCTTAAGTTCTCAGAAATCCCTTTAAAAATGAGTTCTAGAATTATTCAAGTCAAGCTCATTAGTCTACAAGTCTGAAGAAGCTATCTTTTTTTCCCCTTTCTTGATAATCTGGACAAGATTTTCTTGTCTCTAGTGATATGGCACCCATCCCATTCTCTGGGTTTTTTCAGCTCTCACTGATAGTGGTTTGGCAATCAAATCTACAAATTATCTCAGTACTGGGGAATGTAGTTTATTTGAGACTAGGGACTCAATCTCATTGGGAGAAGTTAGGTGCTTGCTTACCATGGCCTCACTTAACCTGGGTTTCAAATTCTGTTAACCTCTTTTGGTCTATCTTTCCCAATTAGATTATTCTCTTAGGTAGAAAAAAAGGAAGAAAAATAGGAGTTGAATAGTTCAACCTTTTCTCCATCATCCATCATCACCAGTATCTTATCTCTTCTTTGACCTTCCTTTTGGCCCCCAGCATAGCTTATCAAAAGTCCCCTCCTCCTTTATCAGGGTGGAGTGGATAGAGTGCCAGGCCTGGAGTCAGGAAGACCTGAATTCAAATCCAACCTCAGACACTTACCAGCTGGGTGATCCTGGGCAGGTCACTTAACCTTGTTTGCCTCAATTTCCTCTGCCCTATTGTGCCACCTAACTGCCCCCCCCCTTTTTTGGTGACATTACCTGTCCTTGCTCCCATCTTCTGTCCATGTCTTTAAAAAGTCTAAGTTATTTGAATTGTCGATCTCCATCAGTGTCTCTAGAAAGCTCCTCCTTTCCTTCCTTATCAGAATAATTTACCTAGTTAGAATTTCATTATTGAGAGCATTCTACCTCTCTAGAGTCAACATTCCCTACAGAATCTTAAGCCCTGAAGTCCTGCTTATCTTTTCTCCTAACTCTTCACTCTCCCCAAATTTAGGGGAGTTCATGTATGATTCTCAGATGGGGTAGTCACTTCCTTCTAAGGTTTTGGTTGTTCCTACTTAAGCCAATAGTCCTTCCTTAGTAGTCAGAATCAAATCCAGAATAGCAGTTCCCCTCATCACTTCCTCAACCTTTTGCAGTGATCAGCCATTTGCTTTTAGCAAAGAGTTCCAGCAGATAGAAAAGCAGTAGCTTCAACTGCTTTATCTCCTCACCATGTATCCCTGAGTCGCACGGTGCCTATATCTTATTTGTGTACTTATTTCTGATCGCAAGTGAATGAGTGTCTAGAGATCGAGTTATGACCTCGTGAGCCTCAAAAGGATGGAAGAGCTGTGAGAGGTCCCCTTAGCAACTGGAGACAAAATTATCTGGTAGTAGCTGTAGCTGAGTTTGGTGAAACCCTGGATTGTGAAGCAACCTTTGTGACTCAGCCCAACAGTGGATTGAGATGGCAACTGAGATGCCAAGTCCTAGAATTACAGATTCCAAGCATACCCTGGCTGATTTTTCCTCCCAAGGTTCTGAAAAATTTCTGGCCCCGGGGAGGAACTATTACCGCCTTTTGATGTAACAGCCATCCATCCCAGAATCTACCAGAAGTGGGTGTCTTGTAACAGGTACACCTGGGAGAATATAGCGTCTCCTACGAACAAGTCTCTTAACTAGCTTGGCCAGCTCCTCCCAGGATGCAATGTCTCAGCTGCATGGTCAATCTTCTCCTGGGATAGGTCAAGCAGGTCACATCTCAAGACTGATTCCTCATCAGATTCAGTTACTGATGCTGTCAGCTACAGAGGTGTCTGCTGCCCACTCCAGTTCCTGAGAGGACCTCTTATATCTCTTCTCACTTTTGAAGTTCTCAAGGTCACAATATGAGTTATTCCATCTCTGGGTACTCATTCACCTAAGATTAGAAAATAAGTAAACAGCAGAAACAGGAACCACAGGTTCAGAGAAATGTGGTAGCCAGGTGAGAGCAGCTGAATCCACTGCCCTTTCCTCCACCTGGAGGCTCATAGCAATCTTCCTCACCAGTTTCAATCCAATACATGGAACACTGGAGAAGGATGAAGAGAAAGGAAATAAGTATTTAATATTAATAGAAACCATCACAGAAGAAAAAATGTAAAAAGATCCAAGGATGCACATAGCAATCCATTTTATATGAACTCAATTCTTGCTCTTTCATCAGCCCTTCTAGCTCCAAAGCCAACCAGAAAACACATAGTACTAGTCTCTCAGTCACTCAAGGCTAAAAGAAGGCAGCTAGAATGCACAACAGATAGAGTGAAGAAAACCTGAGTTCAAATCCTTCCTCAAACACTTACAAATTATATGACTGTGGGCAACTCATTTTATTGCTGCCTGCCTCCATTTCCTCCACTGTAAAATGGGGATAATAACACCACCTACCTCTCGGGGTTATTGTGAGGATTAAATGAGATAATATTTGTGAAGTACTTAGTACGTTACCTGGTACAGTACATTAAATACTTGATAAAGGTTTGTTTCTTTCCTTTCTTCCATAATGTTCCATGGGTTGAAACTGGATAGAGATTATTTGCATGCATTGTATATCCTACCAGGAAGGGCAAATTCACATATGTGCTAAGGACCCCCATCTTACCACTTTGCTTTGAAATTTCTAATTTGCTCCATTTATTGCCCAAACTCTGCATATCTATACATGGACTCTGAAGCTGTGAATATTATTACTGACTTTCTTTCTGGATCTTATCTCCTGGGAATTGTTTTACAGCCAAGGATTTAGAAGTCAGAGATGCGTCACGTGTGAGGAATAGCAAGTAGACTAGCGTATTCAGACTGTAGAGGATATTGAGGGGAATAAAGAACAAGGGGCAGCTAGGTGGCGCCACAGTTCACGGAGTGCTGGGCCTGGAGCCAGAAAGACTCATCTTCGTGAGTTCAAATCCGGCTTCAGACACTTGCTAGCTGTGTGACCCTGGGCAAGTCACTTCACCCTGTTTGCCTCAGTTTCCTCATCTGCAAAATGAGCTGGAGAAGGAAATGGCATACCGCTCCGGTATCTTTGCCAAGAAAACCCCAGTTGGGGTCATGAAGGGTTGGACACAACAACAAAATTTATGAAGATTCTAAAGATAGGAAGGAGCCGTGTTGAAGAAATTTAAAAGCCAGGCAAAGGAATTTATATTTAACACTAGAAGGTAGAGAATTTATTGAGTAGGAAAGTGACATGGTCAGACCTATGTTTTAAGAAAATCATTTTTGCACCTGAGCAGAGGATGGATTGGAGAGGAGACAGATGGGAGGCAGGGAGACCAAATAAGAAGCTATTATAATAATCCAGGGGAGTAGGGATGAGTGCCTAAACTACAATGGTGAAGACTGTGTGAGTGAAAAGAAGGGGATATATGCAAGAGATTTGGGTTTTTTTGCTTCAGTCTGCTTTTCTCTGATTTATTTATTTACTTTGTTTGTTTGTTTTTGCTTTTGGTGGGGCAATTGGGGTTAAATGACTTACCCAGGGTCACACAGCTAATAAGTGTTATGTGTCTGCAAGAGATTTTGTGATGATAGAAATGACAAGATTTAGCAACACATTATCTATGTGGAGCGGAAGAGTGAGGAGTCAAAGATGACAATCAAGTTGTGAACTTGGATGACTTGAAGGCTGATGGTGTCTTCAAAAATAGTAGGGAAGTTCAGAAAAAGGATGAGTTTAGGGGGAAAGGGGAGCATACTGAGTTTGAGATGCCTATGGGACCTCCAGCTAGAAGCGTCCCATCAGTATTTGGCAACGTGGAATTGGAGCTCAGAAGAGAGGCTGCGGCAGGATATATTTAAT